TCTTTCCTCGACCGGTCAGGCAGTTTCCTATTTCTGAGTTTTCCTCATAGGCGGTCAGAGTCTGGAAGACGTCCAACAACCGCGTCAGAGGTCCCCTTCCTTTCAACTTGTCTACGGCCAAGAGGTTCGCTTTAGTGAGGTCGCCGGCCCGGTTGTCGGCAGTCTTCCCAAAAACTAACCATTGAGGATCTGTTTGAGTACCTAATGAATTGCCCTATTCTGAATGTATTTCATTCCCATTCTCGAGCCACTCGTCGAATTCTCGCGGAGAATCTTCATATGAATTGGTAGGCCACCGAGGCCAGCCATACTGGTATACAAAGTCTTCACTGCGGTGTTCACTGGTCGCCTCTGGTCTAGTATATCCTGAGATTTTATTACCCATTTCCTCTGATGACATAGTTCTCATCATGAAACGTCCAATGTGCTCCCGTTCTCCCTATGCGAATTGTCGTCACCGCTGACGTGTGTGACTACGGTAGAGTGAACGACCAGTTGAAAAAATATGGCGCACGTCAGCGGAAAATTTCGTTGGCTTACCTCGTCGTCGTCGGTTGAAAGACAAACTACCTTTTGGTAATTGGAAATGTCACTTCAAACTTAATGGTTCTACATGATTTGTCTGGGAAGTTGTCGTTGGATACTATAAAGACTCCCTTAGTTGGGGTGAAGTAAAGAAGGAGCCTATACCCTTTCTTGTCCACGAAGCGGTTGGGATTTCGGAAAAGCAAGCAGCTGTGAAGAAAACATTCGTTCGATGCAGGACCTCAAAATAGCCTTGTTGTACTTAAAGCCGAACCAGCTGCCTCATCCGTTTAACTTTTTCCAGCACAAAGAATAAGCGAAGGTCTCCATATAAAGCGGAATTTCGTTATTCACGATGAAATCAGGCAAATTCTGTTATGCGTTTTGAGATTTTCAGATGAAACCTGACTTCTGAGCTCACATTCTCTGATGGAGCCGATTAGTTTGGACCTCATCAGACCGCGGGAACTTCGTGCCAATTGAGAACCACTTTATCACCAGCCACCACCACAGCACTGACGACATAATTTATACGAACTTGTTGCGACATTAATCATCCCTTTGGTACTTTGGTTTGGTCCTTCTAAAATCGTTGACGACTGAGTCGAAGAATGCTGTTCGATCAGTGGTTCCTTCGTGCTTCGATAGTCTTCACAAGCTTTACCGTACAGCTTTATGAATGGCCGGTTTAAGTACTGAATAACCTCAGAAAATCAGAAGCAAAGGCACTGAAGCATTCTTATTCGCTGGATTGGCGATGGGAGCCACCAGACGTATTCCATCGGATGGCCAACCATTCATAATGAGATGCCTTAACACGGTCCCCAGCTTTGTTCAGAACTGAATAGAATTCTGTGTGTGTGAGGCCTATACAATGACTTGCGGTGGCCTGCCGATGCTGACAAAGATTTTATCCTCCCATGTGAGTCTTTGACCGACTTGTGGAGGATGTAAGTTTTGAATGGCCTGGGTGGGTATCGATCCNCGATCCGATCATTAGACCATGCGTGCGATAGTGTGCGCCCCACTGCTCCTTCTTCGCCCCTTTCGTATGTTTAGGCATCCAATTTGTCGTCCAAAAATTTGAGGCAATTTTAGGGTCATTTCGGATCAATCCAAGTTTTCAAGTGGAAAAAACTCGTCCAAACCTTAGTTCTTCCTGTACTTTCCTAAACTGTAAGAGTGGGAACCGAGGAAATAGTTCATTCCATTCTCCTTGACCACTGGACCACTTGCCATTCCTCAGTTCCATTTCTCGCCTTCACCCGAATTTCCATTTGTGATCTCCATTTAGGTAGACAATTGTACCCTAAAATTAGCTCGACATAAGTGGGTTTCCTGGTTGCCCTCTTACAGGGAGCAGTTTTTCTTTCAGCAAGAGATTACTTGTGAGCTCAGCCCATCTCCTTGAACAGGGATTACTTTGTTACGCAAAAGCAAAATCAGCACCAGCCCATCAGCCAAAAAAGTCGAACTTCACAACGCCATTCACCGAACAGAGTGCTGCACGATTTTGCTTGCAGACAGCCAGTTTCGTGAAATATAGGCCGAGGGCGTGGCTTTTGAATTATGGCAATCGCTGGCGATTTTTCTTCAGAATGCGATTTCCTAGCGTTTTGTGATGTCACTCCCGCATGGTCGATTTCCCAAAGATTGGATCAATATTCATTTCCTGCATGGCTCAACCTCTTTTCTTTCTTCAATAGCTCTTCTAGTTACAGTTACCAGAAAATCTATGTCCATGTCCATGGCGCGACACCGTCCGTTCCGTTTCCTATGTGTAACTCTTCCACATACCAAAAAGTTCACGCAATTCTGCTATAAATTTTCCAAAAGGGTAAGGACAGTATCGGAATTTGCAATGATAACATGTAGGATAAAGTCTCTGGCACAATCAGTCCCTTTTGTGGGATGCTGGAAGGAAGTTTAACCTTCGCTCCAAAACGAACCAAGTGAATAAGCACACCGAGTTAGTGGTACATAGTCAATTCTACCTAATATGATTCCTCTGAGAGGTTACAAGATTGGAAGGGCAAAAAGATAAGAACCAATTTCAGGCACTGATCGATCCTGTCTTAGGTCCCCATCCCTTGTTCCACTTCCATTCAGAATAGTAGTCACTTTTTCTTATGCGTATATGACCTACAATGTCTTGTGGTGGCTTGTTACTTTACAAGTTACTACTTTTATCCTCCCGGACGAGTCTGGTACCAATTAACCCTTCCTGGAGGCATAGAAGGCTTGGTTAGTCTGATCGGATATCGATCTGGCAATCTTCGATCCCAGCACCATGCATGCGATAGCGCGCCTTTCACCACTACACCAGCTTCGCCCTGTTACTCAAAAAAGCCCTCTAATTCGCTGCTATTCCTTCTCCCTACCGTTTTTCATATCATATTTCTGTCATATAACCCTTCATATAATAAATTTCTCAATGGCAAACCGGCTAGCCATAGATATGCGCTAATGACCACCTAGGAGTATTAGATTCCTCTTAGGTCCACATTATTCTGCCTGATTGGTGAGCAAGGGCTCTGGGCATGATTTATATATAATGCCCACTTCTGTGCAAACCTCAAGAGAGAGAAAAAAAGAAAGAAAGGGAGAATAAGATTGAGCAACTTATCATCGGTTTGCCGTTCAAAAAACCATTCGGCATTGACTCTGCTACGTAAATCCAGTAAGAACAAAATGCATGGTGCATCAGAGAAAAGTTAAAACTTCTCTACTGCGGAGGAATGAAAGCGCTCGTCTTAGCCCGAGTTCCTCATTACTGCTTCGACAACCTGCGTTTTCTCATAGGCACATCTACTTCATCTTCTTTCAGTCTTCATCTTTGAGCCATGCAGTCTCTCATAGCTTAGCCTTTAGGCCTCCAAAAAACCATTCACGGTGCTTGGCAAAGACTCACTTGAGCTCAGTCGTTCTTAAATGTCTTTTCAAAAGACAAAATGGGACCCTTCACATTCAGTGCTCTGTATTATGCCGAACACACAATCCATTTTTCGTTTTCCTCTTCCCTATCTCTAGAATCACTGGTGCTACCCTATGTCGTATGAAATTTAATCCTCTCAGCAATCCTTCCTGAGAATTGTCAGTATCAGTTATAATATCTGAGCGATATCCTTAGCTATCACACTTACATGAATAATTGATCTCTCTGGTCGGTTAGTTAATGAAGCCAGCCGGATTCTCTGTGTTAGAAGTGCAACTGGTATTGCTGATATGTTTCCCGCTACACACATAGGTGGTCGCTTTACAGTTTGAAGTGGAACCAGACCCAAGGAGAGATCCCTCGATAATTTGGACCGTAAAATATGGTGGATAAGCGATAGTTGGTTTAAATATCGGATAAAAGATGAAGTTTTTGGCGTTCATCAACCCTTTTTGAGATGCGCCCCTATTCGTTTTCCATTGAGAATCGTTGTGATGTTTTGAATGCCTTGCGGTTCTGTTAAAATGTCTCCCGGTGGCCAGCTGGTGTGCAGGTCTGTGCTTCTATCTCCTCAGACGAGCCTGGTTCCGATTGGACGACTTAATAGGGATAAAAGGCTTGATCAGAAGAGTATCCTGGAAGAGTATCGCTTCGGATACATCCGGAGCACGAGTATGTAACAGTGTCATTATCCACTTGTCACTACACCTCTTTCGTTCGCCCATAGATTCCCATCTACTTGATTCGATAGCGACCTCAGCGCCAATAGAATCGCACAAGGTTCCTGACGAGGATGACGATTTCAATCCAATTCTAATTAGTTAACGAACACGGTAGATCTTAAAGGCACAGTTCACGATAATTGTTAGGTACCCGTTTAGATTCAAATAGCGGAAGTATAGATTGGGACTAGTTCATTGGTAGTGAAGAAAGCGAGAGAATTCGTCGATTTAGAAAAAAATGTGGCTTCTCAAAAGTAGGGGAAATAGAGGTAGGACGAGACTGCCATGACGGAAATAACATGGAAGGGGTATTCGGACGAGATTTCAGTTATTGCAATTGCACAATGAGCTGACTACATCGAACCAGAACTGTGCAGAACTGTCTTTCACTGTCACTATGGGTTATGACAAGTTGTTTGAACTTTCTACAAGGGTTCCCTTGTGATCGGTGCAGCCTCTATAATGCCGGTGAAACTCGTCCGAGGATACACACGGGCCAAATAACTTCCTAACTAGGCCGTTTTCCGACCTGATAATGCCAGATATGGTATACGCAAGGGCCTCAAATTCATCCTTTGGGGGAAGCTCAAAAATCATTTTTATCGTGAACTGCGCCTTTGAGGCCATTATTCAATTTTTATATCTTTTTAGATGCTGGGAACTACCGTATAAGAAAATTCTGTTCCGGAGTGTTTTCGATGTTTTTTTGTGTCTGCTTTCCAGACTACTCAGTCATGATGAGAACCTGTTATTGAAATACACCAGCCAGTTACCCTTTTTTGAAGGCGATTTCATAACAATCAGCGTTCACTGTTCAGACGCAAACAATTGGCCGAAGAACGTGAAAAGGAAGAGCAGCGATATAAACTGGCCATGGCCACCGAAGCACAACGAGCGGAGGAACTACGAATCCAAGAAGAACAGAGGTTTGTTTCACAGGTTGTCTCTGAACAACCGTCTTATGTGGCGTATTTAATGGGTCTGTCACTTTTCTAATGAATATCCGAACGATTTGTCCGTTTCAGAATGGCTTCAGCAGAACGTGAACGTCTGGATGCGACGATCGCCACACGACTGTCGCGAGACGGAGGTGGAGCAATGATGGACACGCCCACCACGAGCATGTAAACCATTTATGCCCATTGTGTACTGGTTGTTTAGATTTGGAACGACCAAAAAAGAAGGAACTGAGCATGTCAACAACTGTGTTTTTCAGCTTTTAACATTTAGGTCATCCGGCTCATCCATAGATTCCACTACCAAACCAAAAGGAAAATACGACCTGTCGACATGGAGATATGCAGAGCTGCGAGATACCATCAATACCAGTACAGGTACGGCCATTCCTACTCAAAAGTTCTATGCTTTCACTGCCCCAGATGATGAGTAGGCTGAGTGCGAGCAGCTGAGGAGTGATTCATGGAAGTGCAAAATGTATGACGGGGTCTATGTCTTCAAAGAGAAAAGTGATTTGGGTCTGTACTTTCCAAGCCCATAGCCCTTCAGCCAAGAAAAAGCAAATCCCAGTTTTGACCTAGGTATTTTGGGATTATGGCCCGGGTAATCCAGGCCGTCCCCCTCTGCCCTACCGCGCACTTTCACCTCTAGGTCTTTCTGGCATTTCAGACGATGATGTATTGAAATATCTTCTAAAGCCCAAAGGTGAAGCTCACGATTTTCCAGCATCGGCCATCCCACAAAACTTCTAATATCACCCCATAAATCCAGTCAATTTGGAAAGGGCAAATTTTGTTTATATCCCTTTCCCATGTGCGGCTCGAGAGGTGCTACTAAATTACGATACTTGAAGGTGTCTTTGTGCAAAATGTTCACAATCAGCCACATTTCCCTTTCATGGCGAAACCATGTCCCGGTTTAAACAAGCCCACAGGAACCGTCCTAGTGGGGATGGGACAGCCATAACAGTTTTTCTAAGCAAATTTCAAGCAGCTGGGGGCTCTACCCTCGTAAGGTCGCAACATGA